CAATGAAGAGCCTAACTGAACAAGCCCCTAAACTCTGTATTCACAATTGGCATGACAACATAACTTGACGTTGTAGATTCTCTTGTCGCCGTGCGGCATTTGAACCGAGTAAATCTCATGATCAAGCCTTTACTTGATGAACCACGTGGTCTACTAATAGATATCTATGAATTTCTTATGTCCAAGTCTCTTGCGACCCGGCCCCCAAATATGATATTTCTGCTTGATTTGAAAAGGCTCACTAATCCCCTTGTAATTTCTTTTCCTAAAATTAAGAGTATTACCTTTGTCCAGTCGTCTTCATTTTGGTGATATTGCAGTTCCCTGATCTAAGAGTTTGTTTAGGCAGTATACAAAGTTTTCACTAATCCTGTCTTCAATTTTCCTCTTCATTCGGTTTATTTCAGTCAGGATACCAATGGCTTATCAAATCTTGCGTTTTCTTGTACTTCCACCAGATGCGGCCAGCTCTTCGGTCGATTTTCACTCATCTCGTGTCTCGCTCGTGCGATGTGTTCCGATATTTCGGATCTTTCAGTGTTCATATTTCTGCAGAGTATTTGGTGTTCATTGATTCGAAAACTAAATTGAGGACTATTACCAAATGGGCTTTCTTTCTGAATAATCTTCTCTTCAGTATTCCGTGGAGGCGAATCCAAGAAAGGTAGTCGTTTATCCTCCTCCACCTCCATTGTAATTTAATTATTTCATTAAATTGGTTTATAAAATTGAAGAACACATCCAAATTTTTCTTATCATGTGACCAATGTGCAAAATAGTCGTCAGGATATACCATAAGGACTCTTGGTTGCCGTTCACTTCTAGAATTACTTCTCCAATCCATGCATGTATGCATTTGCCAATAGAGATGAGTGCAGATTTCACCAGTAGTCCACATATTTGCTAATAGATATTGCCGTTGAATGTAAAGTATGTTGTACTTACTGTCAGGTTAATTAGTCGTGATGACGACTTCTTCCCTATCCGCCGTGCTTCCAGGATAACCTACCCTTGTTCCAAAACCTCCAGCAGGGCGGTAACTGCCTTCTCGCCTGAGAGGGTTATGTACATGGACTGTGCATCAAAACTCAATGAACAGTTCCTTCCATGCCAGTCAAATATTTTAGATTCTTTGAGAAAATTCGTATGAATTCTTCACGATTCTCAAGTCTCTCGTTTACCTTATGAGGCTTTAAGTATATAAATTTTGCTAGTTCGGGTGCTGCTCCATGGTTATTGTTGACAGTTAACCTCAGTGACTATTCCTTCCTTGTGTATCTTCGGCAGTCCCTGATCTGTCGGTGTCCTTGCGTCAACCTTATTCGCAAACTCATCATAAATCTATCGATTTCTTCGTTGTTATGCATTTACTTTAACATTTCTTTCAGCATTCGGTTGATCTTCTTTGTTGGATCCTTTCTTAGTATTAAATATGTATTTATGCCTCCTAGGATACTTTCAATTTTACCTGTATGCTAGTGGCTCTTCATTATCACCGTCGCACCTATCTTTTTTGCCTGAAGAACAATTCGATTATTAATTTGTATTTTTTAATATCGCTTCATTAAACCGTTGCTTTATAATGGCTATTAATGAGACATAATGTATGATAATATCATGCAGACTATGGAATTCGGACAAGGTGCGTTGCTATAGGTGTCTTCTGCGAAAATGACCAAGTAGCGAAAAGAAGTTCAAACAACTTCTAAGGAAAATTAAGCTAATCTTCAAAAAATACAATGTAATTGTGAAAAAATTCGGTTTTTAAACCCTTTACTAATTAATAATTCTTGAATGAATACAAATGTATTTAAAATTTGATGAGGATGTTGAGATATATATGTGTATGCGCCTGCACCTGCTTTCGCATCACATTACACTTGCTATTAACAAACAATCTGACATGAACTGATTACTTGTGTATTTTCGGAAGGCTTAAATTAATAATTTTTGAGAAAAAAATTTAGATTGATAAGAGTTTTTTGAATGGTGAATAATTAAGTAATGATATATGACCAAGGAAGTGGGGAATAAAAACGGTCTCCAGGGAAATTACGAAACTTTCTTCAATTATGCCCACTTTTAGAGAAAGTTGACTCATTATCCAGATCGGGTTGCTACAAAATAATGTGTTCATGTCGGAGAGACTTGTCGTTCCATTCGACAAAGGGTGGCTGAGCACAAAAACGCAAGCAAAGGCAGATGAGTTTAAAAATCGGTGCTTGTTGAGCACAGGGCACGGGACACGAGATTGAATTGTCAAACATGTCGCCTTGCTGATTATAGTATGTTTGCGGCTAAACTAAAATTAGAGAAGCTATAGAAATAAACCGAATATAAAATATATTCAATGTAAGGAATACTGGTAAGAAGACAAGTAAAAATTGCTTGTTCTTAATTAATAGACTGAAGGATAGAGAGGGAGTTGAGCCGTCTGCAAGGTGGCGCAACTAGGCTTTTCTTGTCTTGGTTCTAATCATAGTCACTTCTCTGTATATTTATTGGAACGATTTTAGGCTGTCAAGTAAGATCGTGTTATATGTGTCATATCATTCGATTGACTTAGCAACACATATATTCTCTTCGACTTTATTCCTGAATTGTTAAGATGATGTAAGATCAAATTATGTTAGTATTCGAGGTATATAAACTGCAACAATGCTAATTTTCATTAAAGGTACGAAAAACATGAAAGTTACACTAGCACCGAAAGCTAAACAAGCTTTTGAATAAACTGGTACAGCCATAAAAAGGCCACACTATTATAATTTTGGGCATCAGAAGCAGGTAAGATTATCGGAAAATATTTTAATGTGCGTAAGAATCATTGTGGCCAATGTACAGAGGAAAATACAAAAGGAGCATTGTGCAGAAAAACTAAGATTCTCAGTTTAAAAAATTATGAATGAAAGTATTGGTATTGATAGGAGCCAGACTTTAAATCTAGCATTGGCACACAGACAGGCGCACGAATACACTAACAGGAGAATGACTGGAGAGATAAACAGGGGCATTCTCAGATGAAAAATCAAGCAGACACAAAAGATGACCTTGAATAATCAAGGCGCAGTGTCCAAATGGATTAGCCGGCACAGCGGCGCTAAAGGAAGAGATCAAAGATAGAT